CAAATACCAATTAAATACATCAATTTTACCAATGCTTTTTTGTTTTTTAATTTTTGTCAAAAAATTTTCATAAAATCACTTTTTTGACCATGCAGCTGAATTTTTTATTTTTTTAATAATTATATTAATTTTTAATTTAATATATGTAATACAATACAAATAATAATATTTTCAAATAAAGATTTTAGAGGAGTGTCCCATTTATACGAAAACACACTGTACATACATAGATTTATTTTTAATGGCAATTAAAATATCAAAAAATATCAATATTAAAAATATCAAATACCAATTAAATACATCAATTTTATCAATGCTTTCTTGTTTTTTAATTTTTATCAAAAAAATTACTTATAATAATATGTATGTAAGTGGTACCCTATTTGATATTTTAATTGTGGTATAAATGTATAAATATAATATTATGTATGTCCAGGGTGTTTTCGTATAAAAACTTTATTGAAAGAGAAATTTAAAAATCCAGCTTGCATGGTTTAAAAAGTAATTTTTTTGATAAAAATTATTATTATTATTACTAATAATAATTATAATTATTAATTAACTATCTACCCACTTTATCTAATTATTATTTATAATAATTAATAATAATTATTATTAATTAATTATCTACCCAATTATTATTTAATTATCATTTAAAAGTAAAATTCTATTTTAAAAAAATATGCCTCTATGTATACATTCTATGTATACATACATATGTACATTTTTAATTAAAAATAAATAAATTTCACACGTTTCAGAGGCATATTTATTATTATTATTACTAATAATAATTATTAATTAACTATCTACCCACTTTATCTAATTATTATTTATAATAATTAATAATAATTATTATTAATTAATTATCTACCCAATTATTATTTAATTATCATTTAAAAGTAAAATTCTATTTTAAAAAAATATGCCTCTATGTATACATTCTATGTATACATACATATGTAAATTTTTAATTAAAAATAAATAAATTTCACACGTTTCAGATGCATATTTTTTTTAAATAGAATTTTACTTTTAAATGATAATTAAATAATAATTGGGTAGATAATTAATTAATAATTATTATTATTAATTATTATAAATAATAATTAGATAAAGTGGGTAGATATATCTAACTATAGTTAATTAATAATTATTATTAGTAATAATAATTATATAATGAAATAGAATAGAAATTACCTCTCAGAACAGCACTAGGAATTGTAAATAAATAAATAAATTCTTTTGGTTACTTACTTTACTCAATGATGAAATAATAAACCACTAAATTCAGACACAAATAATCCTAGGACAAATAATATTATGACTGCAAATAAAAAATTGTTGTCGTCTCGTTGCTAAGCGACGAGTTTAGTGAAAGGAGGGGTAAGAAGCCCGCGTGGGAGATCGGAATTTCAAACAAATACCCCTTATTTTATCATATTTTCAAGCTTGGAACATTGGTGGGTAGATGGCGACACCTTACGGACACATTTTCTTGTAAATTAATAATAATACGCCTGGCACAGATCGTCCTACCACCTTGCGTCTCTTCACACACTTTACTCAATGGTTTAATACTAAAGAAATTAATTATTTTATTTTTGTATCTTCTTAAAAACAGGATATTGGTATGGGTATTTAAAACAAAAAAATTGGCAAAAAACGCATAATTATTGCACTGGTTTGCAATAATTCGCACTCTGCGAAAATGTGAGTAGAAGCGACAAAAACGCTTAATAACTAAGCTATGGTTAAACGGATTTTAAAAACAAAAAAAGTGTTAAATGGAGAATTAGAATACCTTTCAAATGAGGTATCACAAGCACCCTCTTTCCATTTGAAAAAGTTGATACTGCCCTCTTGGAACTTGTTCGGCAATTTCATACTGACATAAAAAAGTAGTAAACACAATATTGTTTACCCTGGTTTTTGTCCGACATCGATATCTTTTTTGGTTCAAAAGTTAACAGGGGGGGGGAATTTATACCTACCTAATAAAATTGTATTTATATTTATAATACAGCTTTCAAACTATATAGTGCCTTTTTTACACATTTTTTGTTCATATAAAACCGTCCTAATCACATAGGATTATTTAGTACTGCCTAAACTGGATGATTACGTTTGTGCGTCGCTAATTGGTAAAGTTAAAGGGTTACGGTGTGTTGTAATTGGATAGTAACAATCGTATTAGGGCCTCGACGCTGTCAGGCAGTCAAGCAGGCTCAGGATAGGCAGTCGAGGCAGGCCAAGCGCAGGGGACGCGCACCGCCGTCGAGGAGCGGTGTCAATCCGACAAGAGATCGAAGTGTAATCCGATTGTCTCGTTAGAGACTGCAGTCGCCTTGTTAGCTGGCTCTTCCTCAAATTGATTGACCCACTACACTAGGTCTTGTCATACAATCAGTTTAAAAATACTTATATAAACTTGTTTAGGTAGTTCCTAAATAGTTTTATACATTTTTGTTGGACCCAATCGTAAACAATATGGATATCCATAAACAGTTTTGGAAAATTTAGAATGCTTATGCAGACAAATGAATAATGCATAAATTAGATTAAAATAGTTTTAGGAGATTTTAAACATTAAATATTTTAAAATATTATTACCACCATGGTAGAAAACGTATATTATGGTACCATAATTTACGTTTTCTACGACAAATACATAATATTATCTAAAAAAAATTTAAATTAAATATTTGTATAAAGCGACATCTATACAAAAATAATAATAACCATCCCAATAAAGATTTTTTCTACTACCTTACTGGAAAACTTAATTTTCCACCCCCGAGCGAGGAAGGAATATGCCTCTTTTCCTCCAAGGAAGGAAAAAAATTTCCTCCCTTTTTTTTAAACAATTTTACATTAGCAAGAGTTTTTGTACCTTGTCTAGCCCTATTTGATTTTGTAGGAAAATGATTTACTCCGTGCTTGTCCAATCATTCTTTGAACAAACTATATTCATTTTCATAGCGCTCTTTCGATTTTCAATTAAGGAAGGAAATTAATTGCAACTATTCTTTCCTCTTCAGAAAGATCTTGCGGCAGGTCTTCTTTGCTAGAACTCATTTTTAAAACGTAGGAAGAATTTCAAATTTATGATAAACATTCTGACAGCTTATAACAACAAGCATAGCCATAGCAACAAAGCGTTGTCAACATAACGTCGGCGACGCAATACCTACTTAATATTTTGTCATGATTTTATAGCCCCATACCGGGTTAGTAAAACTAACCTGAAAGCTTAAAATGTCTTAAAACCGTTAAAAGTTAAAAGAAAAAACTATATACATACCTTAGGAGGAAAATGCGTTTCCTCCCTTGAATAGGTATTTAATGCCCTTCGCTTCGCGTCAGGTATCAAACTATTCGCGGGAGGAAAAGCACTATTTTCCTTCCATGGTATACCATATATGTAAATAGCTATTTAACATTGCCCGTTATTATGTAAATTAATATTAACAATTATTGCCACTTTAAAATATTTAAATAACTATGATTATGTTAAGAAAATTTGTTATTCTTTGATTTTTTATTACTATAAATGCAAAATATGTGATAACAAAGTATTAAAAATTCTAACACCGGAAATGGTACAAAAAGAGGAAGCAGTTGTATTTATTGGAATTTTCGTTAGAATTTCTAACTTGGGAATATAGAAGCACTTTTTCACAGAGAAGATAATGTTTTATGGGCACTGTACGCAAAATTTTTAAAGCTTAATCAAAAGGTCAGTACAAAAGTTTATATAATCTTTTCAAATATTGGCGTCAAGAAACTATTTAATACTTTTGTATTTTTGTATTGAGATAATAAAATAATTAACGATTGTATAACATTTGACAACTTAAAACTAACTTCAGACCGTGACTCACAACCTGTTGCCCGTGCCCGTGACTAGGGTTGGGAAAATTTCACTTTTTGCTTGTACTTGAAATTTCCCTTGAAATTTTCATGACATTTATGAAATTTATTAAAATTTCCTAAATTTCTGAAATTTCCTGAAATTTATGAAATTTATTGAAACTTTCAATAAATTTCAATCACTTAAGTGTATTAATATTGAAATAAGCCCACCATGGCAAATTGCCTCTCTTACCTCCTACCCCTCTGTGGGCCCCTGACCACCAATAATATAAATAGTAAATACCTATGTTTACCACAAATTTCTTGAGATTTCCTTTTAAAATATTTTTAAAATTACTAAAACTAAGAGAGATATAGCACTTTTTGGTAAGGTAATGAGATTGTGCCACTTTCATTGTTTTATATTTATATATATTTATTATTTTTTATATATTTTAGTGAAATTTTACGAAAATTGAAGAAACTTCATCAACATTTTATGAGCCAAAGGCATTTTTTATCCGTTTTCAATGCAATTATAGCAAAAGTAAAAGTTTAAATTAATCATGACTTTTAAAAAAAATTAAAGTCTGATTTAATTTACAAATTAAATTGGTAACTGAATTAAATTATTTAAATTAATTTATGCATATAAGTAACAATAATTACGTACAGCCTAACTAGACAAAAACGCCCAGACGCTTGATAACTCGTTCTTATTGGTCGATTCGGAATCTGTTGTAAATTATTATTAAAGGTCCCAGGGGAGGCCGCATGTGAAATTTATGCGAAATTTTCAGTAAATTGCGAAACTTTCAATGAAATTTCTGAAAGTTTCACAGGCAATGTTAAAATTTTCGCATTGAAAATTGCATTTGAAATTTTTACAAATTTCACTTTTCCAACTAAATGAAATATTTCAAGTTTGAAACTTTCAAAGTTGAAATTTTCATTTGAAAATTTCAACTGTCCCAACCCTACCCGTGACTAAAGCGCCTTAAAGCCACAGCTTGTCAATGTGTATTTAAAAGGTCAGTTAGTGTCATGGAAACATGTACGATAATGGCTTTTTAAAGGTAGGAGTAGGAAGAAAAATATTATTTCTATATCTGAAAACAAAAAAACTTTTTTTTTTAATTTCTTACCTGCACTCTGACTTCCGGCAAATTGACCTTCATGGCCAACTCCTCGCGACTATATACATCCGGGTAGTGGCTCTTTTCGAACGCGCGTTCCAGCTCGTGCAGCTGGTAGGTAGTGAATGTGGTGCGATTACGGCGGTGCTTTTTCTTGCACGCGTCCGCCTCAGACATGCCGCCGCCGCTGCCGGAATTGTTGGCGGCGCTCTCGTCCTCCGAACCGCTTCCGCCTTGAGAGCTCAGCTTCCCGTATCGAAGCTCGGAAACGCCGTCGTTAGAGTTGCAACTTCCTTCGCCTGAAAAAAATCAATGCAAAAAATTTACCAAATTTATAAATTTATGCAAAAAATGTTTCCAAAGATGCTTTAAGAATTATGAAACGATTTCGAAAACAATTTTAGGGTCTTAGAATGGTTAAGGACAATAGGATTATCTTAGAAATTTTTAGGGTAAATTTAAGATAATTTGAGAATAAATTTAAGATTTTAAGAAAGTTGTTAAGATAGTTGAAGGGTATTTTTTAAGTAATTTAAGATAGCAAGTAATTTAAAGACGTAGTTTTAGGAAATTTTAAGAATTTTTAGACAGTTCTAGGACATTATAGTCGGTTAAAGATTTTTGAACATTTTCAGTATTTTCGGTTTCAGAGTAATTAAATTTTGTACAGTTTTAATTAGGTTGGTTTAAGGATATTTTAAACAGTTTTAAGACACTTTTAGGGTAGTTTTATAGGGACAATTATAGTTAGGAAAGTTTTAAGAAAAAAAAACTTTCTTTTTCCTCGTTTTAGAACAAAATTTAATGTAAGACATTTTTTAGGACATTTTAAATATACAGTTTTAGGGTTAACCCTAACAATTGTTTTAAAATAGTTTTGACAGGATTTTTTTTAGTAATTTATGAAAATTTCTTAGTAGTTGGGGTAGTTTTAGGATATTTTAAATAGTTTTTTTTAGTATTTTTAGGCAGTTCTCAGAGAGTTTAGACCAGGGTCGATAATTTTTGAAACCAAAAAAAAATAACAGTAGGATGAAACCCATTGGAAAAGAAGAAGAATATAATAAAAATGAAAGGAAAAATAAATTACGGGCGATCTGACTTCGGGAAGTGGGAGGGGGGGGGTTTAAGGGTAAAAAATGGTTTATCTCGATTTCCGGCAAAACTACAAGTCCTATGGAAAAAAGTTAAATGGCAAAGTTTTAGGTAATAAAAGGATCTATAGATCCTTTTATACAACTTTTGTAATTACAATTTTTTTACATAACCTCAAAATTTATGTGAAAAATTCAAAAAACCAAGTTTTTGGTTTTTTATTTTTATCTTTTTCAAAAAAAAATTTTTTTTCACGAAATTTGGTGAAAACTTACTTTTTTATGTCCCAAATACACTGTAATTTATTTGATTTGAAATATTTATTATTTCGCCTTATTTTGACTTAATATCAAAAAAGCACCCTAATTTTCAATCGAAAATTCTCGCGTAAAAATATCAGCTTTTTTCAAAAAGTCGGTGTGCTTTTTGTTCGTTGAAATCTCTACTTTCTGATGGTGTAAAAAAATATACATTACTATGGTAAATGTTCTCAGAAAATGCAAAAAAATATTATAATGAATAACGAAAAAAACTCGAATTCGAAAATTTATTTTAATCATTATGTACAATTTCATCAAAAAAATGGGATTGTTGCAATTTTTTTTAGTTAAAAAGTTTACTTATTAAATTCTAATAACATTTATGTCAGAAAATCTCATAAAATAAAAAAATACATGTAAATCATACTATTGAATTTAGATACTTCATTCTGATTACGTTATTCATTATAATATTATTTGTATTTTCTGAGAACATTTACCATAGTAATGTATATATTTTTTTACACCATCAGAAAGTAGAGAGTTCATCGAACAAAAAGCACACCGACTTTTTGAAAAAAGCTGATATTTTGACGCGAGAATTTTTGATTGAAAATTAGGGTGCTTTTTTGATATTAAGTCAAAATAAGGCGAAATAATAAATATTTCAAATCAAATAAATTACAGTGTATTTAGGACATAAAAAAGTAAGTTTTCACCAAATTTCGTGGAAAAAAATTTTTTTTGAAAAAGATAAAAATAAAAAACCAAAAACTTGGTTTTTTGAATTTTTCACATAAATTTTGAGGTTATGTGAAAAAATTGTAAATACAAAAGTTGTAGATTTTTTATTACCTACAACTTTGACATTTAACTTTTTTCCATAGGACTTGTAGTTTTGCCGGAAATCGAGATAAACCATTTTTTACCCTTAAACCCCCCCCCTCCCACTTCCCGAACTCAGATCGCCCGTAATTTATTTTTCCTTTAATTTTTATTATATTCCCCTCCTTTTCCAATGGGTTTCATCCTACTGTAATTTTTTTTCTCTTTTTGCCATTTTTAAAGGCTTCTGCACTGGTCTAGTTGGTTTTAAAGAATTTTTAGGACATTTTAAGTTCACACAGTTTTAGGGTAGCTTTAAGACAACGATTTTAGGATATTTTTAATTATTTTTAGGACATTTTATTAGATGGAAGTTGAGTAGTTAGGTCATTTTAGATACATGTAAGCAGTGGCGGCTGGTGGATTTTGGGTATACCGATATCTCAATTATTATTCTTTAAAAGGAAATATTAAAAATTTAAAATGGTATAAAATCTGTATAATTTGGATTTTTTAAATGAAATTTAAAATTTGTCGAGAAACTATGGTAAGTAAAAAATTGCACAAATTAAATTTATATTATATTTATTGGGGGCGCCATGGGGCCGGTACGGCCGAGCAAAAAGTTATCTTTTTTTCACAAACTTCAATTTAAATTTTGCTTGCGCAGAACTTGTTTATTTAATGTCATTATAAACTCATATAAATTTGGTGTGGGTCGCATATCTAATAATTGAGATATCGGTATACCCAACCGCCACTGAATGTAAGGCTGTTTTGGAATAGTTTTAATACGGTTTTAGAATATATCCTATTTATAATATGTATTAAGTTTGATAAAAGCCATTTTAGTGAAGAATTTGAACGCACGAGAGTAAAAACACGTCAAGTGGACCCCCCATTTTCCACTTGATCATCGAATTTGAATGTGAGTATTTTTTCATAAAGTAGTCACCATGAACAAATAATCCCCCGCTCAGTTTTTTTAAATTTTAATTTTAACAACAATTTTTTTTTAATTGAAAATTTTTACTACTTTTAGTTAAAAATATAATAATGAAAAAACTATTGGTGATTTTTTAATGAAATTTTTAGGAGTTATAGTTCAATACTTGTACTTTAAGAAAATATGTATGAATTTGAATTATTTTTTTTTTGCATATTGTTAATTCACTTTTAAGTTAACAAATAAAAATTTTAATGACTTCTCCCTCAAAAAATGAAAATTTTTTTGTTCAGTATTAAACAATAAACATTCAAGTAACGAAATCCGCAAAAAAATTTGACTGATCGCGATTAGATTAAGCAAAAAAAATTTTTTTATGACGGGCGGTCAGCGCTGCCGGTATTGCGCGCTGCCGCGCGCCATTGACTTACCTTTAGATTTACTCTGTAATTATAAATAAGGAATATTACTTAATCTTTTAATTAAAAATATCGTTATTTTATGATTAATTTTATTTAAACAAATGACAGAGATAATAAATTATATATTTTTTTATAAATAAAAAATAGAGATAATAAATTCTAGCAGTATTCTGCTATTTATTTTCATTTATTGTTTTTAAAAAACTTAATGAATCATAATTATTTTAGTTTTTTTTAAATATATTGTTAATTTAATAAAAAAAAACAAAAAATTTTATCAGTTACCCAACGTTGGTTAAACTGGTTATAACCAATATCAGTAAATAAATATTTTGTAACAATCTTGTCAAACGTCAAACGTCTTGACGTTTTATTTAATAACTTTTTATTAAATCGTTTTTATTGTTCTAAATTTAATTAGTTTCTTCCGAATTTGTTTAAAATTTTATTACTGTATTGAAGTTTATTGCTCTTTTGGATCAATTTCAATTTCATTATTTATTTGCAGCATTTATTTACGCGGCTCATGACTAATTAAATATTAAGTATTAACAAAATTACGAACACCAATAAACTTCAATACAGTAATAAAATTTTAAACAAATTCGGAAGAAACTAATTAAATTTAGAACAATAAAAACGATTTAATACAAAGTTATTAAATAAAACGTCAAGACGTTTGACGTTTGACAAGATTGTCACAAATATTTATTTACTGATATTGGTTATAACCAGTTTAACCAACGTTGGGTAACTGATAAAATTTTTTGTTTTTTTTATTAAATTAACAATATATTTAAAAAAAACTAAAATAATTATGATTCGTTAAGTTTTTTAAAAACAATAAATGAAAATAAATAGCAGAATACTGCTAGAATTTATTATCTCTATTTTTTATTTATAAAAAAATATATAATTTATTATCTCTGTCATTTGTTTAAATAAAATTAATCATAAAATAACGATATTTTTAATTAAAACATTAAGTATTATTTTTTATTTATAATTACAGAGTAAATCTAAAGGTAAGTCAATGACGCGCGGCAGCTCGCTATACCGGCAGCGCTGACCGCCCGTCATAAAAAATTTTTTTTGCTTAATCTAATCGCGATCAGTCAAATTTTTTTGCGGATTTCGTTACTTGAATGTTTATTGCAAAATACTGAACAAAAATTTTTTCATTTTTTGAGGGAGAAGTCATTAAAATTTTCATTTGTTAACTTAAAAGTGAATTAACAATATGCAAAAAAAAAATAATTCAAATTCATACATATTTTCTTAAAGTACAAGTATTGAACTATAACTCCTGAAAATTTCATTAAAAAATCACCAATAGTTTTTTCAATATTAATTTTTTACCTAAAAGTAGTAAAAATTTTCAAGTAAAAAAAAATTGTTGTTAAAATTAAAATTTTAAAAAACTGAGCGGGGGATTATTTGTTCATGGTGACTACTTTATGAAAAAATACTCACATTCAAATTCGATGATCAAGTGGAAAATGGGGGGTCCACTCGTCCACGAGCGAGGTTGCGTAATTAATTGAGTGTCCAGAAAAGTTTATAAACGAGTTGCATACTACTTATACTTTTTCTACAAAAAGTACTCATTAGGTATTATCTAAAACTTAAATATTTGTTTAGAGCGACATCTTTAAAACAATAGAGTAATCATTCTTGGGAATCTGTATTACCCACGCAGGTGAAATGTCAAATTTGGATGTGTAAATCGATCCCTTGAAAATGGAAGTATT